TCTCTCTCTCTCTCTCTCTCTCTCTCTCTCTCTCTCTCTCTCTCTCTCTCTCTCACACGCACACACACACACACACACACACACACGGGGAGAGTAGAAAGAATTACCACCTGGGACTGCTATGCAGATAAACATATGAGGCTCACAATAGTGTGAAACAGCCCGCAACTCGATTCATGCATTGTTGCTCCAATGATCTCATTTCTAAATATAAATATGTAGTTATATGTTGCTTTAAGTGGATTTATAAAAGATTAAATGTGTGGACACTCTCTAAAAATATTCCATATTGCTAAGTAGCATTATAACCATTATAACGGTTTTAAGTAAATTTGCCCTACTTGACAACAAACAAGCAACTAAATACTCCTGGTGTGCTTACTTTGAAAACCAAGCATGCTTAAATCACTTCTCTTAAATACACTCATCTCTACTGCCACTCAGCAGCCTGGCTCTCTAGTTTTGTAAGTTATATTACAGAATGGCTGACTTCACCTCTTTGTGTAATTTCTTTCTTTCTTTCTTTCTTTCTTTCTTTCTTTCTTTCTTTCTTTCTTTCTTTCTTTCTTTCTTTCTTTCTTTCTTTCTTTCTTTTCTTTCCGCCATGCTGAGAGCTCTGGACAAGGCTCTGATGTAATTGCTTTGTAATGAAATGTTGGGAGCTTTCAGAAGCCACTCAGAGCAATTACATTTGGTTACTCAGTGATGCTAGTAGCTACTCTAAAACTCATAAGCATATTTTGTTTAAAAGAGACTTTATTATGTGTTTCAAAGTAAAAATATTATAACTTAATATAATGTATTATAACTTGAATGGATCTTGTTAAATACACACATTGTAGTGACATTGTCCTTTCCTCTCCAGAGTTTAGCACCATAAAAGTCCAAACGGTTAAGCATTGTCATTGAACGCCCCACCCTCCCTGTCAACAGGATATGACAGTATGAGTCCTTTCCAGATTTAAGAAACATTTCCTTCTTACAAAATTATCTTTATATGCCCAGTAACATTTTGAAACCATTGACAGTATGAAGATAGCGCCGGGCAGTAAGAAGCACCAGTGAGATGTTGGCAGGCTAAAAATTAGTCCCAACTGCTTGTAACCAGTTTTAATAAAGTTGGCAACTTATTTAATGTCTTCATGCTTCACTTTCTTCCCCTGAATGTTAATGGCTCTGTTTTTCATTCTCTACATCACAAATTTCTTTAGATAATTAATTTACATCAACTCATCTGCCAAAGGAAAAGCGCTGGACCAGATAATACCACTGATCAATTCCAGTTCTAAAATTTGTGATAACTGACAACATCAGTCCCCATATTTGAATGGAACATCTTGAAATCCTCAGCTGGCTGCAACTGGAGCAATTATGGAAAGGCATTTTTTCAACTAAATGAGCATTTATATGCATAAAAACCAAATGTGCTAAATTCTTTCCTTAAAAAATTGTATCCTAACATTCCTAATTATCCCTTCATGGGACTATGGATGGTAGAGGATTGTCAGTTTCAAAAGCATGCTTGTTTTTATAACATCTCCAAACAGTAGTCAAATGTACTAGTAAGACCTCAGTATGATATTTGTGGAAAAAGTTTTTAAAAGCCAAATCAGAACGGCCATATCTGCAGGATTCTGGAATCTCTCTGGAAAAGGTTCATTTTCTCTTAGAACATGTTTTTAAAAATCATGACAATAACACATTAAATGAGTGTGTGTTTACCTCTTCGTTATTCTGCAAGGAGCATTACTCATATAAAGCTGTGCCATTGTTTAAGCTAAGCACATGCACTTATGTTTCTGTATGTATGTAGTGGGCGTGAAGGAAGGATGTGCACTTGATCTGTAAGGTCAAATTAACTCTGTGTTAGAAATGCGTGTACAAGCTTGATACATGACTATATATGCCATGTATGTGTATGTATGTTTATATGTTTGCACAGAAGGTGTTAATTTATTCATCACTGTAGTCAATCAAGACACACTAGCGACAGTGTCCTTTACTTTATATGACTGAAGAGTGGGGTGAAATATTCCTAAGATTTTTTTCTATAATAAATCACAGATCTTTGTTGCCACTCAGCTGCCTGAGTGTGTCAATAAACAGCAGCAAATTTTCAAAGATGACAACAAAGGTTGAAGAAAAACAGAGACATTGGGTAACAGGAAGTGAGCTAATGAAACAGTGACCAAAAATCATCTCGGATTTAACCTACATCTCCGTTTCAATCAGAGGGAAAATGCCTGAAGCATAAACCTGAATTATTTATTTTTATTCCACAATAGACATGTGGAAAAATGTGTTTTGTTGTTTTAAGTTTAGCATGCACACTCATTAAAGTTTCTAAGCCAGTGGGGCTTTTCAGTCCACTGATTATTTCAAATGAGAAAATATCCTGAAGGGAAAAGAACCAGCACTTTGTCTTCACTGCTAACATTTTTATAATGATGCTGTTCCCTCACATTTTACTGAATAGTAAAGTCTCTTATTTAAACTAAGGAACTGAAGATTCTTTAAGTTAATGGTTTTGAGTTCTGCTGTTTAAAAGTTACACATATTTATAAAATATACATATACCTATTTCATAATGAGATCCAATATTCATCACATGAAAATGCTAACATTTAAGTTATTCTCATTAAAACAAGCTTGAGGCTGACAAGATGGCTCAGTGGGTAGAGTGGATTTTTGTGCAAGCATGAAGACTAAACTATGACACTCATGTATAAAGTAGGACATATCCTGGAAGGTAGAAAGAAGGGTCACTACAGCTCAGGGACAAGCCAGCCTAGCTAAGTATTGATGTATAAATTGTGTTAGAGATTGTGTCTTAAGAACTAATGTGGAGAGTTGAAGAAGATAGCACTCAGGATCA